GAGGGCGATGAGGAGGAGGAGGAGGAGGAGGAGGAGGAGAAGGATCTTCAGATGATAATATGAATCCCTCCTTCATTCTCTCCCTCTTCCTCCTCTTCCCGTTGAGATGTCGACAATGTTTTCGCCCCGCTGTGCTGCGCCGCTGGCAACTGTATTCACGCTGACTGTACGCTTACTGGTACTGCACACCGCTAAACACATGCGTTGCGGCTGCCAGGACGTACGCTGGCTGCTCACGAATTGGCAAGACGTACGCTGGCTGCTCGCGCCAACTACTCTCGAACAAATCCGATTCCGACCTGGGGTTCACCACGTCGAACGAATCCTTCGGAGCCCAGCGATGCTCGTCGTTCGGATTCCAGCGATGCTCGTCGTTCGGAGCCCAGCGATGCTCGTCGTCCAGAGCCCAGCGATGCTCGTCGTTCGGGGCCAGGCAACGATGTTCGTCGTTCTGAGCCCAGCGTCGACCAACCTCTTGGCGAAGCCCGTTCCGCAGGATGACGTCCCGAGCGGCCCTCCAAGCATCGTGTACTTTGTCTGGAGGGCCGCTGACCGAAAGGTATCTGACCCCACGTCGACGACCTCGCACTGACACATTGCAGCCCCAATCTCGAAGAATGGCCTGCCTATCAGCGCGCGTCAGGGTGCCTCCATGCTCCAAGGCGCGCGGCCCGAGCAGAACGTGCGCAGGAGGGTCGCACATCATGATGGGGGGAGGAGAACCGTACATGTTCAGTTCTTTTGGCCCCCCCCCCGCCTTCCTCGGCTTTCCTCGGGGAGGACGGGGGAAAGAGGAAGCCAAAGAGAACTGGATCCGCATGGTCCCCCTCCTCCCACGTATCAGCCCAGGCCGCCGGCGCGCGCAGCGCCCGCAAAGCTCGGCCTGAGCCGAAACACAACGGAAAAACACAAACGCGAAGAAATCAGAGATGCCTTTCCCCCACGTGGGGGTCGTTGGAATTCTTTACTGGGTGGGCTGGACCAGCGCGCGGGCATCGTCTCTGGGTGGGCTGACGGACTGAAGTCACGGGCATCTTTTCAGGATGGGCTCAAAGGGCCGTCTATGGGCATGCTTCGTTCTGGCTGTAACTGCTGATACAACAATAGCGGCGACGACCTTGGACGCGACGTACTACTACCACCACTACTACCACCACCACTGCTGCTACTACGACGCCTATACTACCAGTGATAATGCTACGATTGCCTGTATTGCCACTGCCACTACTGACACTACTACCACGACTACCACTACTACGTCTACTGTTCATGCTACTTCGCCTGCTACGACTTCCACTGATCTGCACCCACTGATACAACGGCTACCGCCACTACTACGACGAAATCATACTGGTGCCACACCCCTACTGCTACCACTGCTGCGCTTATACTACGGGTTCTGCGTGGATCCGCTTGGGCAGAACCACGAGGACAACATCACTTGCTACTACCGTTGCTTCTACTCGTAACGTCAGGACTGCTACTACTACTACTACTACTACTACTACTACTACTACTACTACTACTACTACTACTACTACTACTATGCTACTATGCTACTATGCTACTACTATTACTACTACTACTTCGACTACTACTACTACTACTACTACTACTACTACTACTACTACTACTACTACTACTACTGCGACTACCGCTACCACTACTACTACTACCACTACTACTACGAATACTACTACTACTACTACTACTACTACTACTACTACTACGACTACTACGACTATTACTGCTACTACGACTAACACAGCAACTACGACTGCTGCTACTTCTACAGCAACGACTACTCAGACTACTCATACTTCAGCTAATAATATTATTATTACTACTACGATTATGCTACTACTACGACCACTACTACTACTACTACTACTACTACTACTACTTTTTTACTACTACTACTACTACTACTATTTCTACTACTAGTACTAACAGTACTACAACTACTACTACTAGTTCGACTACTACTACTACTACTACTACTACTACTACTACTACTACTACTACGACTACTACTACGACTACTACTACTACGACTACTACTACTACTACTACTACTACTACTACTACTACTACTACAATACTACGGCAACCATTATTACCACCACTACTATTACGATTACTACGACCACTGCTACTACTATTATTACTACTATTACTACTACTACTATTACGATTACGGCTGCGACTACGACTACCACCACCACCACAACCATTACGGTTGCTACAACGACGATTGCTACGTCCCTTTTTCTTTTCTAACTACTGCTGCTACTACTACTTCTACTACTGGGGCCAAGATTTCTATTACTACTTCTACTACTATTACTACTACTACTACTACTACTACTACTACTTCTACTACGACTGCGACTACGACTACGCCTACGCCTACGACTACCACCACCTCCATCACAAATATTCCGACGGCACATACTAACACTACTACTTCCATGTCTACTGCTACTCGTACCACCACCACCACCACTACCAGTACTAATTCTACTTTTAATGTTACTACTACTACGACTAATACTACTACTACTACTACTACTGCTACTACTACGGCTACTACTTATATTGCTATTGCTACTTGCTCTACTACTTCTACTTCTACGACGACTGCTACTATTACTATTAGTTCTACTACTACTACTACTACTTCTACTACTACTACTACTACTACTACTACGACTACTACGACTACTACGACTACTACTACTACTACGACGACCACTACTACTACTACTACTACTACTACTACTACTACTACTACTACTACTACTACTACTGCTACTACTACTACTACTACTACTACCACTACTACTACTACTACTACTACTACTACTACTACTACTACTACTACTACTACCACTACTACTACTACTACTAGTACTGGTACTAGTACTACTACGACGACGACGACGACTACTACTACTACTACTACTACTACTACTACTACTACCTCTACTACTACTACTACTACTACTACTTTTGTTCGAGTCCCGCGCGGTCCTTTCTTACCCTTGGCCGTTTCAACGCGTTTTCTTGATTATTTTCGAGCTGGATCCTGCCGCGGCGACGAAAGGCCTAACAGAGGTAAAACCAGGTTCGAGGACCGAAGCATAATCCGACCAACAACGCGACTCGTCCCATGCTTTGCCAGCTCACATGGTTTTTCTTTCTCACATGTTTTTTTTCTGCCCCTTCCTCCTCCTTTTCTCGTCGTCCTGTCCTCCATCCTCCTTCTGGTCCTCTTGGTGTTCCTGCTCACCCCCACGTCATCACTCCGTCATCCCACCCCCCGTTGGGCGGGTGAGTCCTGTCAGTCCGCGCGGGCGCAACGCCAAAAAGGCGGAGGGGGGGTGAAGTCGGAACCGAAACGGCATTGACGGCCACCCCCTTCTCCACCCCTTCCTCCTCCTCCTCCTCCTCCTCCTCCTCCTCCTCCTCCTCCTCCTCCTCCTCCTCGTCCCCCCCGTTCCTCCTTCTCCCCCTCCTCATCCTGCTCATTATCCTCATCCTCCTCCTCCCCCTCCTCCTCCCCCTCCTCCTCGTTTTTCCTCCTCCTCCTCCTCCTCTTCCTGCTCCTCCTCCTCCTTTTTTCCTCCTCGTCAGCCGTTTGTCAAGCGTGATGTTTGGCTTCAACATAACCCGAAATAGCCAAAACCTAACCTGATCGTAACCAAAACGTAAGTGGATCGTAACCAAAACGTAAGTGGATTGTAACCTGAGAGCTAACTCTGTAAGTGGTTTCGGGGGTTCGTATGCGTTTAGCAATCACCTGATAAACAGAACGCAAATGGGTTGCCCATGTTGGCCTCAACGCGGCTAAACAACATATAGCGCGCGTATGAGTCGATGATCTGATTGTTATCACCTGCTCGACTTACTAAACGGATACTTGCGGCAACAAGGGATATATCATCAGTTCATTGGGTCATGACTATACATACAGAGGTTGCTAAACTACTTGCTGTCTCTGGTATCTCCCAAGGAGTGGGAAGTAGGCTCGTCTCGGGTCGATGTCGAGGGCCCCTGAACCAGTTTGCCAAACAAAAATTCCCGAGGGGGGATCGGCCAATGTTGGTTTGATGGGGCCCTCGCGATGGGGTCCTCTGGGAGCCCTCGGGTGGCGTCTTGGAGGATCCTTGGGCTGTTTTGAAGCCATCTCAGGGCGACTGGGTGCCAATTGGGATCGTCGATGTCACCCAAAGAACCATGCCGAAGCCACGCAAGCCGCCCAGGAACATATTTGAGGCGGTCGGGTCCGCCGGCCCTTTTCGCACGGACCCCGCCCTTCCAAACCGGCCGAACGGAACCCCTCGGAAAGGGGTTGTGGGCAGGAGCAACGGTCTCACACGCCGTAGACCCCAAGGGGTCTGCGGATTGTGCGCAGTCTGTGAGCATGTTCCCGCGCGCGCGCGCGTGCGAAGGGGCTCGGGTCTCTTACCCTGGATGTATCTCCATCCCCACCAGTACATGGTCCACGGTATCTCAGCCCCACCAGCCCCACCCCCCCAGGCAAGGATAGGCCCTGCGAGACCCCAACGGAAAGTCATAGTGTGTATATGTGTATATATGTATATATATATATATATATATATATGAGGCGTTCCAAAACAAGGCCTTGCCTTCGAGGATCGAAGGAGTGGCCATCTCTTCCTCGGCGGAATGTTGCGGAAGGTCGGCGGAAGTAGGACGAGGCCGCCTCCCAGGGCGGAAGCTGGCGGAAGCCAGCGGAAGGTTGGCGGAAGGTGGCGGAAGTAAAAGATGCGCGCCCAAAAGACGAAAACGTTTTTGGGGTCCGGAGTTCCCGCCGAAATCAGCCATCGTTTTTTTATAATATATATATATATATATATATATATATATACGTATACATACACACACGCACACCTGGCCACCTAGGTGGGTAAGTGGCCCTGTTGGGCCCAGGCCACGCCAGCGGGGCCAGGGACCGGGCGCAACGGTGCTCCGAGGTGGTGCTGGGCCCGGGCACGCACTTCCTGCGCGAGCCGCTGCGCTTCACGCCGGCGGACGGCGGTGCCCCGGGCCGCCCCGTCACCTGGAGGGGTGCCGGCTCCGCCGTGGTGAGCGGGGGCGAGCCGCTGGACTGCCAGGGCCGCTGGCGGCCGGCGGGCACGGGGGCCGCGGCGTGGCCGCCGGCGGGCGCCTTCGCCTGCGAGCTGGGGCCGGGCACCGCGGGCTTCTCCGCGCTGTTCGTCGCGGGGGAGCTCGGGGGAGGCAGACCCAGACCTGCCCGCGTCGTGAAGAGAAGTCAGGGCCGGAGGTGTTTCGTCGGTGTCGGCCTCTCGGGGCCCTCGCTGGCGCCAGGGAACGTCAACAGAACGACTCAGGATAAAAAGCCGGTCCCGGGGAAGGACGAGCAGAGGCGAACCGTCCTGACTTGCATGTAGGCCCACCAGAGAATGTTCTAAGAGCCTTCTGTGGTCTGCACGAAATGCTCTTAGAACATTTCTGGTTGAGAGCGTCTTGTTTAAACACATATCACATTGTTTTTGTCATTCGAACATCTTTGAATTCAATGAAGATTTCGTGGTGGGCTTATAGGACTGCTGGGACGGTCGGTCCCTGCTCAAGAAGGGTCGAATTTTCGGGGGACCCTGTACTGACAAAGTATCAGTCCGTCGCATGTCTGGGGGGATACCGGAAACGCTGCCCTGGCCTCGTCACCGCGGCTGGATTCCTGTTTCAAGGAGAGAAAAGCCGCCCAGACCCGATAATTGGCGTTTCCTAAACGACCCTGGGCGTTTACGAAACAGCCCTGCCCTTTTCGATTCCTTCTTTAGGTGCGTTTACTAAACGGCCTCCCTGGTCGGGGTGGTTTTTGTGGGGTTGGATAGTTTGCCTTCTATTTTGGTTTCCCAGGAGAGGCAGGTTCGTGCGCGGTATCCTAACGGCGACCCGATGGTTCCGCTGTCTGGGTACGCAAAGGGATGCAAGACTCTCGAAACGGTGCCCCTCACTGGCGTCGCCGCGCTGGAGAGGAACGTCACGGTCCTGGCGAGTGACGGGACCACAGTTGTCAGCCGTTTGGTGTCGGTTCGTAGCCCTTCCGGCTCCAACGTGACCGCGAGAGACACGGAACGGCCCAGGACGGTAGACGTGACCCATGCAGAGTCCCAGGTGCTCTACCGTGGCACTCGTTTCGATGAGAGTTTCAATTACCCGTACTGGAATTCCACCGCGCCGCAGAAGATTTCGGCACCGGAGGGTTGGGCAGAACGCTGGCGTGCCGACGAGAGCACCCTCCCGCTTCCAGGCGAGCGACGTACGAAAGCGGGGTCGTCTTCACCGACATTGGCGAGCAAGCGTCCCGCGTAAGCGCCCTCGTTACCAGTGGGGCGTGCCACGCTGGCGGCCCGCGTAAGCCACCGCGGAAGGTCGCTATGCCCTCTCGCGTAAGACCCGTTCCTTTTCGCCGCCCAGGTGCCGTGGTGAAGATGATGCACCCAGACGGCTGGGGCTCGTGGGCGTTCGAGGTGTCCAGCCACGACGCCGGAGAGGGCACGCTGAGCTTCGGGAGGGGCGGCTGGCAGGAGGCGGAGGGCGGCGACGGCTGCGGCGCGATGTACGTGGAGAACGTGAGGGGCGAGCTGGACGCCCCAGGCGAGTGGTGGTTCGACGACGTGGCCACGACTCTTTACTTCATGCCGCCCGCAGGGTGGACAGAGGAGCAGCTGCAGGGTGCAGCTGTCGTGGCCCCACGTCTTCAGCGCGCGATCGAAGTGTCAGGCGATGCGTCTGATAAGCTGGTCGAGGACCTGGTCCTCCAGGACCTCAACGTGACGCACACCGCGATCACATACCTGGAGCCGTACGAGGCCCCGAGTGGCGGCGACTGGTCCGTTCACAGGGGCGCCGCCCTGTTCGTGGACGGTGCGGAGCGCCTGACTTTGCGACGCCTGAGCTTCGACCAGGTGGACGGCAACGCCGTCTTTTTCTCCGGCCTCGTGCGGAACAGCAGCGTGGAGGACTGCGATTTCTGGCGAGCCGGCGAGAGCGCCATGCTGGTTGTCGGCTCGGTGCCCGCCGGTGGGGACGCGCGTGTGCTTGCCGGGGCGCGGCTGCCCATGAACAACACCTTCACTGGGAACTGGGTCGAGGAGGTCGGCGTGCACGTGAAGCAGACCAGCTGCTTCTTCAAGTCTATGGCCGGAGGGAATCTCCTGCAGGGCAACGTGTGCTACAACGGCCCCCGCGCCGGGTTCAACTGGAACGACGGGTTGCCAGGCGGCGACGTCCTGGAGCACAACGTGATCTTCAACATGGTCCGGGAGACGGGAGACCACGGCACCTTCAACTCGTGGGACCGCAAGGAGTTCGTCTACGACTGCCCTGGCGGGGGCGGCGTATGCTTCACGCCGCAGACCATTCGCCTGCGCCACAACATGTTCATCGGGCCTGCTGGCTGGAACGTGGACCACGACGACGGCAGCAGTCAGTACGAGGACTTCTCGAACGTCGTTTACTTGGGCGGGATCAAATATCGCGACGGCGTCATGCGCAACATGACCGGAAACTTGCTGGTGGACGCTGTGCCTGCCTTTCAGGTGATCGGCTTCGATACGGACTACTTCATCGGCAACACCATCGCCTCCGCCACCCCTGTTGTCTCTCAGGTGTGCGGCCCCAGCTCCCTCGGCGGGCTCCGAGGGACCACCTACGCCACCGTATCGGGCGCGCAGGAGGGCGCTGCCAGCGCCGGCAGTGGCGGCGCCGATGCTGCCCAATCGGCCCCCTGCCACGCCCGCGGGCCTGGCTGGAGGCCACCCGCCTGCCAGTGCGACGCGGGCACGAACGTCACGGTGACCGCGGCCAGGCTCCGGGCGATGCTGCGGGCGACCGTCGGCGGGGCCGCCGCCGGGGTCGAGGGCGAGGCAGTGCTGCTCGTCTAGCGCTCTCGGCCGTCGCAGAGCTCGTCGTTCGCGCCCCGAGGAGGGGTCCAGGCCGCGACCTCCGCGCGGGTGCGGGCGCGCATGTGCGGCACCGTGCGAAGCCTGGCGGCCCGGAGGCGTCGGCGCCCCCACACTGAATCTGCCAGCAGCGCCCCCGGAGCCCCCCTCGCCTCGCAGCAGCAGGGGCGCGCGATTTCAACGTTTGAAGGTCGGCGGCCAATCAAGGGCGAGCGTGTAAGCTCCAGCAAACGTCTGGAAGGAAGCAGCTGAGCGCTGCTTCTCGCACCGTGCCGCTACCACACGAGAATAAAAAACGGGCCGAGCGTCCCACCATTCATACCGTTGTCGAGCGTAGCAAATCTGGACGCTTTGCGTGTCCCCCCCCAGCCTTTTCAGAAACGACGCCTGGACAACATGCTCTTGGGTGAGGGGCATGGAAAATACCACATTGAACCACAGAAGCCAGCAGTACACGTGGGGACCAAGATGGGCCCATGAGGGCTCCAATATGTCCACATGCGCCCCCAATAGCGCCCCCAAAGAGGGAGGAACGAAAGGAGGAGGAGAAGAGAGAAAATGGAGGACGAGCAGGAGGACGAAAGAGGAGGAGCAGGTGGAGGAGGAGGAAGTGGAGGAGGAGGAATAACGGGTGGAACACGGCCCATCCAGAAGCGATTGCCAGGCGAGCCCTGATCAGGGAAACGTGTGAGCATGCAGGGGAACAATGAGGGAGAGGGGCCGACAGACCGAGGCTGACCATCAACTTGAGAACATCTTGGAGCGAAACATGTGTTATGCCTTCGCTGCTATTCCGAAGCATGAGGGGTAAGACAAGGAGAACAGGGAGCTTGACAGAACACACTCCCATTCAACGTCTGATAAACCCTAGGTTGGAGGACGAAGGGGAGGTGGAGGAGGAGGAGGAGGAGGAGGAGGAGGAGGAGGTGCACGATGTGGAGGAGGATGAGGAGGAGAAGGAGGAGGAGGAGGATGGGGGAGGAAGAAGACCGCGTCGACGACAATGTGCAATCGCGGCTCGTTCGCTCTGGGAATATCTTGGAAGCTTGTCGGGGCTATAACTAGTGCAGGCGTCTTGCGGCCATTTGGGACTCCTTGGGGCTCTCTTGGGGCCCTCTTGGAGACATTTGGACACTCTTGGGGACATCTTGGAGGAGATCGATCGAGGAAGGGGGGGGTGCGAAATTAGCGTCGCCCCTCTTTGGCCTGAAAAGCCTCCTCTTGGGGCCTGGGGCCCTCTTGGGACGGTCTTTGAGGATCTATTGGGTGTCCTTGGAGCTATCTTGAGGTTCCCACAGCCCATCGGAAGAGAAAAGACGACAATCTACACATCAGTGCTTTCTTTTGGCGTTAGGAGGGTTTGGCCCTCTCGGGAGCGTCCTTGGGAATCTCTGAGGCAACTTGGAGCCGTCTCGGGACGGTATTGGCGCCGATTGGAGGCATGTTGGATATTGAGCTATAGTGAGCCACCTTGTGCCACTTTGGGATGCCATCTGGAGCCACCTTGACGCAATCTGGGCCACCGTCTTCCAGGAGCGATGCCCCCAGAGACGAGACTATGGTCTCGCGCTTAGTGAGCCCCGGAAACGGCAGGGCCGTTTTTCACCGTTTTCGAGAAAGCGTCTCTTGAAAATGGAAGCGGCACAAAAGACGCCGACGAGAAACGGCCATAAACGGCTCCGCGACTGGAGCCAGAGCCGGGGCCGGCGACAACACGGCGACGGAAGCGGCAACAAAGCAGAGGGCGTCGGAACCCGCCCCCAACGAACGGCAAAGCGGAACGGGTAGAACTAACGGCCTATCGTCGCTTCCAGGGCCCCATGGAGGGAGGCCCCGCGCCACCTCGCAGAGGAGTCACCTTCGCCGAAGGGGCCGTCGAGGCGGTGGCTCTCCCGGCCCATGGCCCGCCTTTATTGACACGCCGTGGGATCTCGCAGCCCCCCGTGTCGGGCAGAGCCAGGGCCCCAGGTCAGGGGACCCTGTCAGCACCCAGATGGTCTGGTACCGGAAATTTTCGGTAGCGATTTCGACGCACCCCGAATTTCGGTAGCGACCGGATCTTCGTTTGAGGGCGTTGAAATAGCGGATTTCAGAACGCTCTGATACCGGTATTGGGCGCTACATTTCGGTATTTCGGTAGCGACCGATCTCTGCGGAGCGCTACCGGAAATTTTCGGTAGCGGACCATCAGGGCAGCAGGGCCCCGGGGCCCGCAACTTAGGCCCGAGTCACGATGAACCAGGTCTGCCGGCAAGCTGCTGTTTTGCGGGGGACGGCAGTGCCGGTCAGTGGAACGGGGCCTGGGGGGGCGCCCCCCGCAGTACACAGCATTGAACCAGGTCCCAGCTGGCCGTGCCGTGGCCGTCATGTCGCCCTGCCTGGCCGTGCCGTGGCCGTTCGTCGCCCGACCGTCATGGCGTCGCGGCCGTCATGTCGCCCTGCCAGCGCCCGACCGCGGCCCCCGCCCCAGACATGCGACGTCCTGATTTTTTCAGGACGGCGCCCCCGGAAGTCCCGGCCCTTTCCCCGGAGCCGGTTTTTCGTCCTGAGTCGTTTTTTGACGGTCCCGAGGCCCGGCGAGGGCCCCCCGGGGCCGAAACTATGCAAAAACCTCCCGTCCTGATTTTTTAACGACGCGATCATGTCTGGGGCCCGCTCTCCCGCCTCGCGCGGCCCCGCGCGCGCGGCCAGCCTCGCGCGGCAGGCCGTGGCCTGCGAGTCGGGTCGGCGGCCCGTGGCCCCGTGGCCCCGCGTGCCGGCGGCTCCTCGGCGGCTCGCGCCCCCGCCGATGGGGAGCCTGCGAGCTCGAGCACGGGAGCTTCGCAGCACCTTGCGGGGAGCTTCGCAGGGGCCTCGGGCAGGCTCATGTTCAGGAGGGGTAAAAAAAAACACACAGACACAATTCATCGTCGATTCCCCCGAGAATATGGGGAAATATGGGAAGTGGGGGGGAAGACAAATCCCCTGAAAATGTGAGGAAATATGAGGAATCCTGTTAGTTGCGTGTATTTGTTTGTGTGTCCCAGGGCCCCTTCACATATGGCACGCGCACCAGGAACGCGTGGGAAAACCTTTTCGGCACACGCTGGAAGGTCAAGCAGGCCGCTGCGGCGCCGCAGCGGGCCTGGAAACGACGGCTGTTTATTTACCGGCTCCGTTTTGCCGTTCTTTCTGTTGCTGGTTCCCGCGCCGTTTTTTTGTTTTGCCTTGTGCAGGTCCCGACGCCGCTTCTTGCGCCGGCTCCGTCGCCGCTTGTTCTTGTTTGCCGGTTCGGGCCCCCGCTCCAATCCCCGAGCCGTTTGTTTGGCCGCTTCCAGTCGCCGTTGTTGTGCCGCTTCCGTTTCCCAGAGGCGCTTCCTTCGGAAGCGGTGGAAGAACGGCCCTGCCGCTTCCGGGGCCCAGCCCTGCCCCCGTCGTGCCGGTGGCTCGAGCCCTCGGCTTCGGGGCTCGTGGGCTCGCGGCCCCCGGCCCCGTGGCGTGGCGTCCCGCCCGGCCTCTCTGCGCGCATGGGGCGTGGCCCGCGCACGAGCCGGCTCGCGGGGCTCCCTGGGGGTCTGTGGCCACGCGGCCCCTCGGAGCTCCCGCGGGGCAGGCACGCGCAGGGCTCGAGCCGGTGGCTCGCGGCCGAGGCCGCGGCTCCCAGGACGTCGGCGTCCCCGGCCTCTCCTCGGGACCAGGGCCGGGCGGCCTGGTGCAGCCCTTCCTTGGCCCGTGGGCCCCGCCCTCCCGTGGGAGCAGCGGGCCGGCGGCGGCCCGGCCGGCTGTGGGCGCGCGGCCCTCTTGCGCCCCTGCCGCGCGTGGGGGGAGCGACGGGGTGCGATCGGATGGCCCATGGCCCGAGCCTCCCTCGCGCGGCGCGGGCGGGTTGGGCCTCGTGGTGAGATTCGGTGGCCCATGGCGCGGGCTCCTCGTTCGCACGCGATGCCTCTATCCCACCCCCCAGCTGTTCGCGGAAGCATGAAGCGGCTCAGAACAGGAGGGGAACCCTGGGATACACCCCCAGGGGGCTTTTCGGACGCACCCCTATCCGAGGATGGACGCCCCCCCTCGTATATCGCAGGGTTGGGCCCCAATGTTTTGGTCCCTTCGAAAACCTCACGAAGCCTGGGATAGGGGTCGACATCTCCATGTCACGGCGATGTAGGCTTCGGTCTTATATAGGAGGACATGCCCGACCTAACCCTTGGCCCCTGCGTGTCTTGGGCCAGAGTGTGCGGGGCCGCCGGCTCAGCCCGGCTCAGGCTCCGGCCGCCACGGCACGCGGGTTGGTCTGCGCGGCATCGCTGCCTTGATCGCTCCAGGGGCGGCTCTGTGTGCAATTTGTCAAGCGTCTCGACCTCCTTGCCCAGACCCCCTTCGAGTAATGAAAGAAATCACGACGGGAGGTTTTTCGTCATTTTCGGCCTCGGGGCCCTTCCCGGGCCTCGGGACCGTCAAAGGACGACTCGGGATGAAAAACCGGTCCCAGGGAAGGGCTCCAGCCTCCTGGGGGTCGACGTCTTGCGCAAATCATGACGTCGGGGGGCCTCGGTCTTTGATTAGGGAGCCGTGAACTGCCATGAGGCGACCATTGTCGGGGAAACGCAAGACCCGAGTAAGCCGGAACTCGGGTTTGCCAAGGTCTGGATTTTGACGGTCCAGTTTTCGTGGGATGTCTGCAGCGGGAGCTCGCGTCAAAATTCACTTTGGGCCTCGTCATTTTTATGATGAGCCCCCCGTACCCGAGTCTTACGTCTGCGACCCGTAACTCGTTCCGGCTCCGGCCGTTCCGGCTCGAGGGGCTCCGCGGGTTCTCGCCCCGCCCGGCGCCGCCGCCGGCACGCGGCCAAAATGGAGTTGAGCAGGCACGGCCCGACGTGTGCACCGGGGCACGACGGAGCGACGGCACGCGCTGCATCGGGCGTGGAGGACCCCCTCGCCGACCCGCAGCAGAGCAGCCAGGCTGCCGACGAAGCCGGCGCGGCGTCCACGGCCTCCCGGCCCTCCAGGAGGAGGAGAGTGGTTCTCGTGGCCGTCGTGGTGTTCGCAGTGCTCCTCGTCTTGGCGTACGTGTACGTGCCCTCGTGGATCATTCAAAGCCGCCTTGCTGGTGGCACAGACATTGCCCTGGAGCAGGCGCACCTGCACATCGATGGAGAGACCTCGAGATTCTTGTCTCCCAGCTGCAGGGTCTTTGCGCCCAAGTCGCTCTTGCAGCTTCCCCTGATCAGCTATCGGGCGACGATGCGTAATATCAGGGTCAAGGTGTACACGGATGTTGGCGATTCCAGGCCTGAGGAGATTGGGTTGTTTGTGGCCGACGAGAACGTAGCGATCACGAGCTCGCAGGATGTGAAT